TCCTAAATTAACCGTTCGCGAGCATAGAAGTGACTTCTTTTTATTGAAGGCAACTCGACCCATAGGTAGTCTCGAGAAATTCAAGAGCAAGTCGAAGAAGCTCCTAAAGACCGAGTTGATGTAATATCTAAATATATAAACATTCTTTCTTTCGATGGCCTCCAGATCCCTACTAGCAATATAACGTAGATGTATTACACACAGGTGTACAATCTACATAACTGTTTTATCATTATCATTTGATAAATACGATTTTCCGTTTTTCAGTCATTAGGATACGGAATCCTAAGAACCACAATGTATATTAACGTTAATTGGGTTAATAACCAATTAAAACTTCAAATTATTCATTCTCCACCCATTCTACATAAACTTTAACCCTTTAGATTTCCTACATCCCCCAAAGTTTACAAAGAGGTGTACATTACAGTTTTAGTTATTTTAAATTTCAGTGTGTATATCTACAATATTTTAATTATGACTTGGCGGTGTTTTCCGATAGTCTTATCGCAAAAAGGCAGTAGTTAGCAGCTCAGTTATAATGGTAGTTGTAGATGCGATTACGAGAAAATTATCGCTATTATAATTAATAATCCTTGTAATACCAAAATTATTCCTTATTGTACCTGATTTAGTTTGCTTATTGCTAGCCCGCTGTTTAATTATGTTCACCGGAAATGTTAAGCATTAACGTGGAATTTTTGTTTTCTGTAATACCTACCTTTCAACACACGGCTTACAATAAACAAAAAACACGCTCTTCCTGTTCCACAGAATATCCCTTCACCTAAAGCTAACAAAATGAAATGGACATACGTATGTATACGTATACATGTTTAATCTCTTAAATACAACCCTTTCTACTAGAGTTACACAGCTCTACGAAAATCCACCCGTTTCCACCAGCCGAGAGAGGTTTCATATTGATTTTGTGACTCCTCATGGCGTACCTGAATTAAAAACAAACGAAAGGATGGCTCATATTTATTACTTACCGAGGGTAATGCTAAATGTACACTATTTCAATTGGAAGATACTTTAACCGTCTATATTATGATACATGCATGTATGTATGTAAAAACTAAAGTGTTTCCATAAAAAAATGTTTATTACCTCAACAATATTACAAACATTTTCGCTACCAAAATTAAATAGATATAACTAAAACTATAATTTACAACTTACGAGGGCGGTTCAATAAGTACCCGTGTTAGAAATGTAGACGCCTTTTTTTTAAAGTTTTTTATTTTATTTTTCAACATAGTCCCCTTTTAGAAAGATACACTTCTCCCAACGACCCTGCCATTTTTTTTACCACTCCAAAAAATAAGATTTGTCGAACTCTCCAAAATCCCCCCTGTCTCGGCGATGACTTCCTCGTTTGAGCTAAATTTCTTTCTCGCTAGTCATTTCTTCATGGTAGGGAACAAGATGAAGTCACAGGGAGTCAAATCGGGATGTGCGGCAGCAAATTCATAACGTAATTCATGCATTTTGGCGGCAACAACTCCTGATGAATGTGCCGGTGCGTTATCGTGTTGAAAACGCACCTTCTTTTTCGTCAAATGCGTCCGTGTCTCCTTCAATTTTTTGTCGAAACGGTCCAATAACTCACTGTTGTATTGTCCAGTTCCTTTTCCTAAAAAATCCGTGAAATGATTTCCTCGGGAACAACGTTTGCCAGGCTTCCTGGTCGCTCCTATCAAAAACGGATCTTTGCCCACGTTTAAATTCGTTGAAGCAATATCTAACTGTGGTCGTAGATGGCGAAATGTCTCCAGTATCGAACTTTGTTTTCATCTCCTCGCATTTCTTCCCATCCAAAAACAAAAAGCGAGTTACCGAACGATACTGCTCTTTTTCCATCTTAGCGAAAATAACGAAACATGTCTCAGTCGAATGGCTGCCAAATCCAAACTAACCTATCAATCAGTCTGAAATTCGTTTTGGCGTGGTTTGATAAATGGCAGCACACGATTACTACACCAATTTCTTCAAACACGGGTACTTATTGAACCGCCCTCGTATTGTCATTTGTGGAAGATATAGAATAAAAAGGAAATGTACAGGGTTAATGTTTGTGTACAGATACACAAAGATCTTAAGTTCTAATTGGTTATTAACTAGGTTAACGTTATTAAAAAGCACTTACGTATTTTATTACTACATTCTCTAAGAAAGATACTATGTTAGATCGCGGTTACATTCAAGGTCACCAACTGATTTCCTCTTCGAAAGCATACAACTTTTGACTAAAACTTTTCCGGATCAATGAGAACCATTCAATATCCCAAGATAAACCATTCAAGCTAACTCCTACCAGTCGGTTAATATGTAAATTAGTAATAACGATAATTAAGGAACAATCACAATTAAAAGCCAGTCAGAATTAAAGATGAGAAGAATTTTCCCCAATTAAAAATTAAGGTTGACCACAATGCTACGGAACCATATATTTTATAGAATAATTGTGAATTCTCTGAGTTTATCAAGTAGAAATACTTTTTTCTATTGGGATCTCTCAAATGGACATACGCCATCTGATGACAAAGCATGCTATTAGGATAAGAGTAAAATTAACACGCGTACAGTAGTGAGTTGATTGTGAATTTTCAACTTTTATAATATTAAAAACAATTTATCAAATACAGTACAATCGGCTTATAATGACATCGAAGGCAAATGACAAACACATCGTACTAAGCAGTAATAAACAACTTTCTATTTTGGTTAGTTATTAGAGAGAAAAACTAGAAATTGTATATATTTATTAACAGAAAAAGAAAAAGAACGATGAATTGTAATATCAATATACATAAGAAGGGTCAGAAAAATGAGCGAAAATGTTATCTATTATTAATCATTTGGGTCTCAATAACCGGATATGAAGTTATATTTCGTTTAGTTTCTGTAGCGATGTGACCTTCAGTTTGACCGGCGCAAAGTAAAAAAGAACAGCACTAGGCCAGAAAAGGAAGGAGACAACTCTCTTAACCGGTGAGGAGCGTATAATCCGTAGAGTACTGCACGAAAAAATTGACCATTTGCCAGCGCGCATCCAAGACTTTGGAAGGGGCACATCGCTAGAGGACGGCGGTTCAATTCCGAGTCCGTCTGACATGGTCCAAGTTTTTTCTGTGGTTTCCGTGATCCTTGGATCACTTAGGCAAATGCTGGGGCAGTAGTAATATTCCACAGATATTCTTTCATTCTCTTCTGTCTTCATTTCGTCCATCTCATCTTTCTCGCCTGAACCACCACCCATCTAGTCCTATGATTCCTGAAAGGAGGCTGAAGAGGGCCTTCCGCCCTATCTTACGGCGTAGTCCGGAGGGACTGTCCACTCACCAGAATCAGTGGCTGGTAGGAATGAAATGAATGCTCCTTTAACAGAACTATTAGAGGTCAAATGAGATGAACAACATCAGTTCTTCCATTGCAAACATCTATTAATTAATTTTTTAACTAATTTTTAAATGTAAAAGTGCATACTGTTTATAACGGGAGAGATACCGTTGCTCACCTTTCTTGACTTGTAATATTTTCCATTATGAAGATCAAAAACCTCGAAAAAACATTTTTTATAAAAAAAGAATATTTCCGCTTGATAAGTTCAGACAATTCATAACTATTCTACTAAAATAAACCAGAAAATGAACAGATATGCAATTTCATAGCACTGCGATTTATCTTATTTTTTAATTAAATAGTTTTAATTCGTATATGGGATTCACCGAAAGAAAAAAGAAGTTCAAACAAATAATGTGTAACGGGATACCACGATTTACTAGAACATAAATTTCTAGTCGAGAAACAAGAAAAAAAAGATATGCGTGGCTTATCTCATCAGAGGTAAATAACTGAACTTTCCATCCTCAACGTGACATCTTTATCTTTGCTTTTTCATCCGTGATATAGTGTGGTTGTTAAGATGAAAAGAAAATTGTTCTCTTTCTGTATGTGACTAATTTACATTTATTTAGTGTAAAATCTGAAAAGAAAAGAAAATATGTTGGATGCGATGACTATCCTAATAGCAAAAATAATGTAAATATGTTCGCTTGATTGAATACAGGGAGGTTGGCCAAATTCTGTATGTGCCGTGATATACGAGGGTGGATTGATAAGTTTCCGGCCTAACCAAGAGATGACGCCACTAGGCCTACCTTGAGGTGACATTCTATAGTACCATCCTTGGATNGTACATACATTTCATCCGAAAATTAAGTTAACCAAACTGAAAAAAATATGTTTCAGATGTTAAAAAAACTTTTATGAAATTTTATACAATTTTATAATAGCACCAAAACAACGTATCAAATTAAATTTTAACAAACAAAAAGCAGAAAACTTTGAATGAATACGCTTCATCGTCAGCTAATTGCGCAAAAAAATTTCCTTTGGAAAATAATGGATTATTATTACTCGCCATGTTTCTTCAGAAATAACATACTCTGAGACAATTTTAATTGTTAACCAAGTACAATAAATTCTCAAATAATCTCTTAAATGTCATGATCATTTTACTTTCAATAATTAAAATGTCGAATACTATCATTTGTTTCAAAATAATACACCAAATTGCACATTTTACCTACCGAACTGAAAACGTGAAAATCAATAAGCAACACTATTAATTTTTGGCAATAGAACTCCCAATCAATTTTCTATTCTCTCAGTTGATAAATAAATTATAGTTTAAAAAAAGCTAAAAACACGCTTTAATAGCGAATCGAACTAAAAGCAGAAAATAATTTTTAATTGCTGATATTTTAAAAGAATGAAAAGAAAATTGTGAAATATAAATATTTTTCGCAATTTTTACTTATTTACATACAAAAGAGGACTCACATTAAGTAACAGTGTAAATAAAACGTGATAAGGATAATTTTTGTACCTTCAGTCATATGTTACTGATAAAATGTACATTTTTTTTACTACATTCTCATTTTATTTTTGTATTCCAAATAACTAATCGATTTTTTTTTTCTTATTAAAAGGCCGGACATAGCTGGTTTAAGGCCGTTGCCAACCCCTAGGCCGACGCCAGCTCTAGAAGATCTAGAAGCGGCGCCGCCTCGACGACAAGCGTCGGTAGACGCAGAAGCTATACGTATAGTGATCCATGATGTCGATTCTGGGTCGACTGGAGCGGCACAGCGCAGGGTCGTACTCAGGCGAGATCCAACTGACAAGGCTCATAGAAGTAAGTCATTAATTTTTATATTTCGTTTCTTATTCTTAGCAAAACGTATTAGATTTATTTAAATGTATTTACTTTATAATTTACCTACATGTGTATAGCTTTTAGTCCAGGCATTATGGGCAGGCGAGAGGAAAAAATTATTCGAATTAAATTTTTTTACACAATTTTGTTCGTGGGTTAATTATGATCAAAAAGGTCTGAAGTTCTTTTGTAAAGTTAATATTTTCCGAGTTATAAATTTTTGAACGTCTTAATATACATAAAAATCGCTATTTTCTTACACGCCTTGCTGACGATCGACATCTACAAGGATTAATAATACTTTTTGACGTATAAATATAGAAATAAATAAAACAATTGATCATTTAATATATCAACACTGACGCAAATACAATACGTCATCTGTATTTACGCTTCAGTGTTCCGTTAGTGAGTCTATTACGAAAACGTCCTGCAGCATTTTTGGTTTTCTTATAAAAAAAATCCAGCACCCTATTCCACTCACGCAGTATTACTGCTATCAAACTCTTATTCTATCAGTGGTAGACCAGGAGCTACCTATAACAATAACTGCGGATGGGAGGCAATGAATATTGGAAATTTCTCTTGTTATTATAACTGTAATTGTTATAAGCAATACACAATTAGCAAATATAGCTAAATCGCTCCTAATAAGCCTCCTCTTCTTGTTCATAAAGTCCCATCGAAATCGATTCCTCCATTTCGGAGATTAGACCATGCACACGGACAGAGACAAAAAAAATTTGTCTTATATCACAACGAAAGCTTCCGAGGTGTCCATCTCTGATGTAGTTACACTTGTAATATGTTAATCTATATCAAAAATGAAGAGATTTTGTTTACGAATAACATTTTTAATGGGTGGAACTAAACTCAGAAGTTAATACCCCATAAGGGTAATTTCTACGTTTCGCGTATTTCTAATTGATATTTGCAAAAACAGCCAAATGAAGTAAAACTCTATATGCAAAACTGTGAAAAATACTTTTAATCGCACATTTAAGGAACTAAAAAATATGTGATTTCAAACAGTTGAAAATAAAATTGCAAAAAATTGATTGATTATTTTTTAATGGGACCAATTTTAATCAAAAGATCATAATAAAAATGCTAAATACATATCTTTGCATTTTTCAAAAAAACAGTTATACAGGGTAGTACAAAAAGTACGCCATATACTCGTTGTCGTTTAACCGAAAAATTTTTCAAGGAAAACCTGTTCCTTATTTCAATTTCTGCAGCAAGTTTGATTTACACAAATTGCTCAAAAATGGAAAAAAAGGGCTGTAGTTGAAGGAAAAAGTTGTTCATCATAATAAGGTCGTCAGTCCTAAGACTGATTAGAGACGCACCTCCATTCTTTCCTATCCTGAGCTAATCTTCGCATTTCCCTAAAACAAGAACAACCAACAACATCCTTAACTATTTGCCAACAGTAATCTAATCTAGGTCTACCTATACTCCTTTTAACTCCTCTAATTCTGCCTTTAATATGTCTCTGACCAGACCTTCATGCCTGAGAAGGTGTCCTACAAACCTATCTTTAATTTCAAACGATTAGGGATATGCCCCTTCCGTTTATCCGGGTGCACCGTAACAAAATTCAAACTACTTTCGAAGAAATTGTCTCTTTTGATTATTTTATTATTTCTACGCCACAGTCTCATTTTCTGTATATTGAATTATATTTCCATCTTGCTCATGCCTAATGTGTATTCGTCCTATTCGCGCAAGTTTCCTTATGATCATATCTTTAACTATTTGAAACTAATTGCTCTACCTATCGAGAATAGTATTTTTTCTGAATAAGTACCGTACGTCCTTTTTTGTACCCTTGACAATGTACGAGGGTGGATTGATAAGTTTCCGGCCTAACCAAGAGATGACGCCACTAGGCCTACCTTGAGGTGACATTCTATAGTACCATCCTTGGATAGCTTGTAGCTATAGTTTCAGCCCGATCTCCTTGCTAGTGTAGGTTTGACAGCACGCTGAACAAGACGCCTCTGTGGTTTTCGTAAAAATGGAAAAGCAGGAAAATCGTGCTGTCATCAAATACTTTTATTTGAAGGGGTTAACGCCGAAGGAAATTAAAAAAGAGATGGACTCAACACTGGGGACATCCTCCCCGTCATATTCAACCGTTAAGCAGTGGGTTTCCGAGTTTAAAAAGGGTCGTGTGAGCACCTCTGATGGGCCTCGCTCAGGACGCCCCGTTGAGGTCACAACTCCAGATATGATCGAAAAAATTCATCAAATAGTGCTGGGAGACCGCAGATTGAAAGTGCGTGAGATAGCTGAGACCTGTAAGATGTCATATGAACGTGTGCAACATATTTTGCACCAACATTTGCATATGGAAAAGCTCTGTGCAAGATGGGTGCCGCGTTTGCTAACAGTCGACCAAAAATTGATTCGAAAAAACATTTCTACCGCAAATTTGTCATTGTATAAGCGTAATCCAAGCGAATTTTTGCGTCGATTCGTAACCGTTGACGAAACGTGGGTCCACCACTACACTCCTGAAACCAAAGAACAGTCTAAACAGTGGATTGGACCAGGGGAACCAACTCCAAAGAAGGCAAAAACAATTTTTTCGGCGAACAAGGTTATGGCTACTGTTTTTTGGGATGCAAGAGGTATTATATACATTGATTACCTTGCAAAGGGTAATACTATCACTGGTCAATACTACGCAGACTTATTGCAACGTTTGAGCCACGAGGTGAAAATTAAACGACCTCATCTGGCGAAGAAAAAAATCTTGTTTCATCACGATAACGCACCAGCGCACACGTCAATCGTTGCGACGGCTAAAATCAACGATCTAAAGTTTGAATTGATGCCGCACCCTCCTTACTCTCCAGACCTAGCCCCGAGTGACTATTTTCTGTTCCCTAATCTCAAAAAATGGCTTGGCGGTAAGAGATTTGCGGACAATGAAGAAGTAATCGAAGCTGTAAATGGTTATTTTGAGGAGCTTGACGAATCAGTCTATAGAGATGGCATTAATAGACTGGAACACCGCTATGAGAAATGTATCAGCCTTGGAGGAGATTATGTTGAGAAATAAAAAAAAAAATTTTTAAAAACCTTGTTTTTCTTGGTCAGGCCGGAAACTTATCAATCCACCCTCGTATGTACAAAATTTCATGACGATTGGTTAGGTAATTAAAGCGTGAAATGGTAACAACGTCACATTCACATATTTACAGTGTAGGTTAGGACAATATATAAAAGTATAATAATCTAATATGTGCGCATCTATCTATTGTTGTGTGTTCATGTATAATATACATATTGGTTATTTTTATCTGTTTGAAAAGGTACAAGATCAATCCAAATAAAGTTTTAACGAAATAGTCTGAAATCGATTCCGAACACAGCCTTTATTAAACAACCGAGAAAAAATATGGAAGTTATAGGCGGCATGCTCTTATTAATAAATATCACAGTTGACTTGCTTCTAATTATCTCTGCCGAATTTTGCTCTCGCCGTTTCCTTCGCAACGCGACCCGATGCGACTCCCGGCAACGGATGAGGGAAGAGGGACTCCAGATAACCTCATTCTGGCATCAATAGATACTGCGACCCTCAGGAACGTATAATAAAGTCCCTCTTCATGCATTTTGATAAAGGATCCAAGATATCTCTATAAAAATGTAACTAGCTACCGAAGTAGATGCCGATGAAAGACTTTTGATAGGATAGACGGGAAATAAAAATCAGTAGCTAGGTACTTACTTCTACAATACATAGATATTACTCTTTGACGTCCAAAACAAAGATATTGTATCAATGTTTAAAAATTTTATAGGTAAATAAATGTAGATTTCGATATGCATCATTAAGACACAAAAATTCGTTTAGAATTATTTATCGATTCTCTCTAAAGTACATAAACTAAATTGATATAAGTACTGATTGAGTACTGAAATAAGTGCTCTTTTGTAAATAATCACAGTTTTCAAAAAATATATATTCCATGTATTCCAGGCAGACAGACAAATACCTAGGTAACCTTGTAGCAACGTCTTTTATCTCTCTATCTACAAAAAACTTCTAAAATGGCTTGAAGTCATAAACTGTCGACAATATGTCCACATATTAAAGTGAATTTAGTGGAAATCAGTAAATTCAACAGGGTCAATTGATGTTGGTGGATACCTAATTACTAAACTGAATCCAAGGCGAAGCTCACCATACGTGATAGACACATAACCAAATTAAACAAATAAGTAGTTCATAGTTGTCAGCGTTCTGTCGAAACTGCAAGATGCGTCGCAGGCGTTTCGACAGAACACCGACCAACTCTACTTACTGCCTCGAGACAGCGTTTTATGAAGTAGCACAAACGGCCCGTTGAACGCCATCTATGACTTTAGTGCACGTTTAGTGGAAATAAGTAAATTCAACAAGGTCCATTTATGTTGATGAATATCTACTCGCTGAACTGAATCCATGGCGTAGCTCATCCTACGTAATAGGGACATAAAAACAAATAAGAAGTTCATAGTTGTCAGCGATCTGTCGAAACCACCAGATGCGGATCACGATTTCGATTTTTTCGGGTTTCATCAACTCGTCGCAGACAGTTTAGACAGAACACAGACCAACTGTACTTGCTGCCTTCAGACAGCGTTTTATGTGTGGCTTTAGTGCACATTTAATAAAAATCAGTAAATTCAACAGGGTTCATTTTTATTGATGGATATCTACTTCCTAAACTGAATCCACGGCGTAGCTTACTTCGTATTTGTTCAATTTGATCACGTGCCTATCATGTAGTGACCTACGCCGTGGATTCAGTTCAGCGAGTGCATATTCATCAACAAAAATTGACCTTGTTGAATTTACTGATTTCCACTAAATGTACGCTATAGCCACACACCGTTTGTGATACTTCATGAAACGCTGTCTCGAGGCAGCAAGTAGAGTCGGTTGGTGTTCTATCGGAACTGCCTGAGACGCGCTGATG